ATTAGACACAATGAAATGTTATGTATATAACAATTGGAAGATAGGATTAAGAAGGCTTATTTGTTCGTAAATAAAAGCTTTGTTTTTATTTTACTTTACATTTTCTAATCACTTAAAGTTTTACTCTAATTATCAACTTAATTATTACTAAATTATTTGCAATCGAAGCAATCAATTGCAAAAACTGGTCATTACAATGAAACCAGCATGTGATTCTTGTGAGTTACGTGTATGTGTGACCGGTAGCGAACTATTTCTCTGATCCAGCACTTAACCATGAATTCCAAAAAATATTTATTATTGACGAAGGTATACAGTTTTACATTGTGTGATAATGTTCGCGTTTCCATTTACGATCAACAAAACATTCAAGTTTTATTTGATAATTGGGCAACCATGAATCTGGCTTGCCAGCGTGATCAAGTGTGATGCATCGGACAACGACATCATTACTGGTATAAAAAGAAAATCCAAAAATAACAATGATGTGAATAGCAATCCATTATTTAAGAAAGAATCAGCAAACCATCTCGAAAATATCCATCTTGAGAATACAAAAACAACAGATTCTGGTGGCGTTATTGTACTTTCGAATAAATCCCAAGTCAATAAAAATAATTCTTCAACTGCAATTAAAGGAACGACATCACTGGAAACGGAAACGCGTAACTGTAAATTTGGTAACACTACTCCAAGAACACCTTGAAAAATTCATCGCAACCAATAAGATTTTGCTCAGCAACTAATAAGGATATGTAAATTTTTGATTAACCCAGCAAAAAAAATTTGACAAGAAAATAAAAAATGTGAAATGTCAAAAAAGACAGAAAACTGATGTTTAAATCAGGCTTGGAACAATAATTAAAATGTCAGGGAGGCAATTTTACATATATACAGGGACCGATTTGGAGAACAATATTTAAAGGCGAGTTTCTCCTTAAGGAAATATCAGTTATTGTTAAAAAAAATCATATTACACATTGCTAAACTAATACTACCATTTTTATATATCACTGACTCTTTCTGGCATCGAATTGATCAACCTTTTACAAAAGTCAATTTCAATACTCTTCCAAGCAATTTGTAGCTTTTCCCACAAATTGTTTTTATTTAAAAGTGGACCAGGAAGATTCTGCAAGTGTGTATCGACTTCATTTCATAAATTTTCGATTGGATTTAAGTCAGGGGACTGGGTGGGCCAATCAAGCAAAGTAATGTCGTTTATCCTCGAACCATCGCTTGGCTTTTTCGGAGGTATTTTTGGATTGTCTTGCTGAAATATGAATTCACTATCTTCCAGCATTTTCTCAAACTGTACCTAAAAAATTAGACATCAGCATCCATTTTGCCATCGATTTTTCAGAGTTCACCAACTCCATTTTCAGTTAGGTAACCCCAAATCATAATGGAACTGCCACCAAATTTTATGGTTGGAGTAACATGGTGGGTGGTCTTTTAATTGTTCATCAGGCTTCTTCCAGCACCATTTTAGTCCATCCGATCCAAATAATTGGAACTTGCTTTCGTTGGACCAAATTATTTTTCACCAGTCGTTGGTTGTCCAATTTTTGCCCATTCTAATCAGAGTTTTTTGTGTGTTTTTTAAGTAATGGCTTTTTTTGTTTAATCCTTGCGAATAAGCCATTTCTTCTAAACATCGTATGCTTTCCACTGAAATTTCGACTCCCAGTTTAGTTTGGAGCTCGCGTTGAACTTGGACGGCAGTAGTGCATTCTCCAGATAATATTAATCAGATGGCTTTCCATTCGTAACGATCCGAAAGAATGCGTGGACAACCGGGTTTCCAGATAATATTAATCGGATGGCTTTCCGTTCGTGACGATCTGAAAGAATGCGTGGACGACCGGGTTTCCAGATAATATTAATTGGATGGCTTTCCGTTCATGATGATCCAAAATAATGCGTGGACGACCAGGTTTCCAGATAATATTAATCGGATGGCTTTCCGTTCGTAACGATTCGAAAGAATGCGTGGATGACCAGGTTTCCAAATAATATTAATCAGATGGCTTTCCATTCGTAACGATTCGAAAGAATGCATGGATAACCGGGTTTTGGTTTATCTTCGAAGATTTGCAGATGCGTTGAACTAAAGCTAAGTCCACCTGTTCCGATAAGGCAATTTCCCAGACCGAATATCCTTCTTGTCAGAGAGTGTATATTCGGGAGTGTTTTTCTAGTGAAATGCGAGATGTTTTGGAATAAAAAATGGTTAGAATTATTGTTTAGAATAACGAAAAGTGTTCTATAGATATTGTAGTGGAAAAAGAGTGTCTTTATACTTATCTTTATAGGCCTGAACTTTTTTGTCCAAATTGGTCATATTACGCAGAACGCTAAATCCACTTTCTTTTAGTCTCTGATAATTCTTCAATGGCGAGATATTTGAATCTCGTCATTTTCCATTTTTTTAGTAAGTCACTGTATCTCTTTAATGCTCTAATCTTGTCCCTTAACTCCGGCCTTAAAATCAATCTTTAACATTATCTGAATGGGAAGAATTTTTCCAGGTGCTCTTGGGATAGTTATTTTTTTGCGTGTTTGAAATTTGATTGGTTAATTATAATTATATTTAATGTGATAATTTTGAATATCATATGATGAACACATATACACGTGATCAATGACTATCGCCAACGACGACAAATAGATTCACCCTAAATATTATATTTATTCTCTTTTTCTTATTTCTATATACTTTTATCATTCTAAATCTGAAATTTACAATTTCAATCACAAATATCCTATATTAATATTAATATTTCACATATATAATTATATTTAGTAATACTACGTAGATTAATTAGTTAATATATTTGTAAATCTCTTCTTTTATATTTTATTTTTTCTTTATATTTATATTATACAAAAATCTTGATTTCAAAATCTTGATTTCAAAATCTTGATTTTAAAATCTTAATCTGAAAATCTTAATCAATAATTACAAAATATATATATTAGATAATATTAATTAGTAATACTATAGTAATTTTGTATTCAAAAACATATATAATAGGACCTGCTCTTTCAAATTGAAATAAACAGTTTTAGTTGACTTAACAATTAGTCACAGATTAAATTGTTTGAAAAATATAATTAAAAAGCTTATTATTATAATAATAGTAATCTTTTGATTCCTTTTCTAATTATACTAGTACTCTTTCTTTCACTCAGTTTTATTTCTTTGATTATATAAAGTTAATTTTGAATTTTATTATAACGTTATATTAATATTTTTGAGTTTTATATCTTTACGATATTAATTTTATTATTTTTGATTTATACTTTTTAGTATTAGTATTTTATACTTTAGTTTAGTTTTTCTTTAATTAATAGTGACTTCACTTATTAATTATTATAAATCTTTGATATATTTTATTTTTTTCTTTATATTTTTATCTCTTTTTCAAATTACTTTTGTTATTTAGATCTTTGAATACATAATATTCGTAGATATTGGCACAGGTCTTTGAAATCTTGACTAATATTTATAATTTATTCTCTTTACTTAAGTTTAATCACCTCTCTTCCAACATTATATGCTTATAGTAATTCTTAGTGAAATTCACTATCCAGAATCGCTATAATATTATTCTAAAATACTTAACTATCTTTTTTTCAAATTCAAAGACAAAAGTAATAATTGAAAATTCAATTCTACACAAATTAATATTCAATTTCTTGATCTCATTTAAGATTTATGAAAAGTAACTTGAATTATAAGATTTGAAATTCAATCAACAAATTATTTTTGTCAGATAACTTGTTTTGATGGAAGAAAATACAAGGATAAATATTAATTTTATAATAATAAGACAATCATTGACTTATTGTAATAAGATTAAAATTTATTAATTTATTTTAGCATTAAAATATGAAATTGAAACAAGAGAGCACACCTATTTATACAAAATTTTTCAATATATTTTAGTTCTATCTATATTATAAAATTATAAAAAGATATATAAAAGGTAAAAAAGATAAATAGAAAAAAGTAGAAAAGATAGAAAGTGAGGATAATAAAGATAAAAAAGGTAAAATAATAAAGATAAAAAAGGTAGAAAAGATAAATAATGAAGATAAAAAAGTAGAAAAAATAAATAACAAAGGTGGAAAAGGTAGAAAAAGTAAATAACAAAGGTAAAAAAGATAGTTAATAAGAGTATAAAAGATAGAAAAGATAAATAATAAGAGTAGAAAGAGTAGAAAAGATGAAAATAAAGATAGAAAAAGTAAAAAAGATAGAAAATAAAAATAGAAAAGATAAATAATAATAATAATTATATAATTATTAAATAATTGATATTGTTATCATTTGATATTTTAGATCACATGTAAAATATCATGTGACATATTTAATAATCATTTATATTTCCTTTTTCTATTTATAATTTTATTTTTAATTAATTATTAATTATTTAATTTATCTAATTTACACATAATTTATCAAAAA